TCTTAAAGCTATGTTAGGCACAGTGTAGCCCATTGGCATTTAAGTAAAAGCTATACTAGGACTGGAACTGTAAAAATAAAGTTTATATAAAACATACAGATGAGTCAACTATTCCCCACAGTTGCCTATTTAAAGTAAGTAATACATGATAATGTATTGCAAAGTACATTGAAAATTTATTGTGTGATTTAAGTTCAGATAGCTTCAGCTCATAGTTCAGCCTCTGAACATTTGAAGATTTTTTTCTACAGCTACACTACTTTCACTGCTACTAGACAATCATAAAAATGCACATTACCTTGCTATGACTGTGCTCTGTGCAGTGCTATGTCACATTACCAGACATCACTGCCCTTCAGACTAACCCAGAGGCATAAAGTCTGCAATCAAAATATTAAGTCATTTATGACAATCATATGTGTAACTAGAATTCCCTTGTTCAGTTAGACACTTCAGCAAGGATAACTTAAGTCATTAAGCAGCTGTGCAAAATTAAAAATAAAGTTTTTATCTGGGAATTACTGATGAATGAATTTCCTATTCCAATGCAGAAACTGCTGAGTCAGGTTCCCCAAACACTTCTAATATTCTTAACAGAATCACAAAAAGCCTCCAAAAAACCTTTATAAAATGCAGTAATTTTTTAATTAGGCAATGAATCACATGGCAACAACCATCCCCAATGCAGAAATCATGGAAAATCAGTGAAAGCAGCACCAAATGTTTCTTTCAAGTGGGTTGCATAAACTAAGCAAAACAACAGTCTGAATATTTTTTAATATTTTTCAGATTTTAATTTGAATAGCTTGAAAAATGATAGCACTGATTTTCCAAATAAGATACCCTGGTGATTCAATGACCTTCAATCAACAAGAATTACACTGGTATCACATAGCAGCAAAACATCATGATAATACTCCTACTGACTGAAAACTAGAAAATGGAGCTGATTGATAGATTGTTTACCGCATCTTTTATTGTTCCTTACAAGGAAATAAAAAGTTTATATTACATGAGTTTGTGAGAAATATAAAAAGAAAGCAGTGGTAGCATCTCTCATAATTTGTGCTTTTACACTCTTGTGAGTCAACTGATTTAAAAAGTTCAGTTGCTTTTGAGTAAAAAAAATTTAGGGCCTGGGGCTTATGAGTCGTAAGAATAAGTAGTACCTTAAGAAAGAAATTTAGACTGAAGTTTGCTACTGTATTTGCATCGTAGTAAATTTAAGTTCCATGTAAAAATTCATTTTTACTGTTTCTAAGAGCTTAGGTTAAATTTTCACCTTCAGTAACTCAACAGGTACCTTTCATTTCAGCTGAATCTTGCTATTATTGCTTGGTTAATAGAAAAAGAGGTGTGCTCTCCCACACCAGTTTATGATTTTGTAACGAAACAGTGATTTATAAGTTCATTACACCTTTATGCATTTGCACTGTGTATGTGAAAGCAGTTTGTTCAGCAGAGCCACACAGCTCTCCCAACTCAGAAAGAATGAGAACTAATAAGAGTAAAAAGAAAAATTGTTCGGGCATTTTAAGTACTTTTTTTGAGTTATTAGTTTAAACATTAAAAGGTGAAGTAGAAACCTGCCCTTTGACTGATCACCCAGATGTAATTAGTACTCTTTACCCCATTTTTCATCATGCGTTCCCTCTACCCCACTCTCTGGCATACTAATGTAAGCACTTCATAATGCGGCACAGACAACTTTGAATGAAACTAGTAACTGTTGAAATAAGTTCTTTTCCCAAGTCTCATGAAAAAGTTCAAGGAATGGGCAAACTTGCTGAGTTTAAATTACTTTTTAACAAAAAATCAGTTAAAAGCATGCCAGTGATCAGATTTGAAGCACTTTTCAAGGAGGCAGAAATCCCCAAACCTCTCCTTTTCTGACTTCCCTTTCTAATAAGGAGCTGGCCCCTTGAGATAAGGAGGATGGCTGTAGAAAGATTCCATAAAAGTTCAGCCAGCTAGCTCAGCATTGTGCTTTTCTGAAATATATAACTCTTATAATAATTTTTTAACCTGTTTATTAATGCCAGTAGGATCAGACACACACTCTCCAAGTGCTATATAAATTTTGTGGTGCCTTCAGCGACTGCTTCCACAACTGCACAGTGAGTTTCTAGTACACACTGCAGCTTCTTGCTGATTACTTTTCATCCCTCAGTACCTCGTCTTTCTTCCTCTACCACCAATTGCTCAAAAAATGCACATTCTTAATTTCCCTTTATAAGGTGGAATAAATATTAATAAAATTTCATTCTTTTATAAGGTGTGATGGAAAGAGAGGTGGCACCTGCTGGAGCCATGCAAAAGCCAAGTTAATTTTCCCCCTCCCCAGATGACATGTGCATGGACAGAATTCTAGCTTCATCAGAAGTCGGGAATATTTGTCCTAATAAAGAAGTACTTTCTGTTTTTCTCCCCATATGTCCACCTGAAAAATGAAAGAATATCATCTATCTTAAAAGCAATATTAATTGAAGCAAAGCCTTCTCTCTGTCCAGACTCCTAATAATTTTACCTGAAATCAGAGATCCATGTGAATGAGCACAGAATATTAGAGATGATGTATCTCATCTCCTAATATGTCTGGGATGGTGAATCAGATGAATCAGCCATGGGCCATGTTCAGGAGAACGGACCTCTCTAATAACCCTTGTTGGTGTCAGAAGTTAAAAGTCTAATGGACTAGTAGCTTTGGTTGAATTTTGTTACAGTTGCTCTATGTCTATATCTGCGTACTTGCATGTCATAAGTGAAAGCTCATTATGATGAAAACTCTTAATGTGCCCGGGCCTGGACAGCATGAGAGAGGAAAGGGAAAACAGGTGACCCTTCATGGGAGAGTACTCCACCGAGGGGGTCTAGGTTTTCTAAAAGAAGTTTGAAGAAGGAAGCTGCAAAGCTAGACTACCACAGGGCAGAGCCAACCTCTGTATAAACTGCCAGCACATGAAATAAACCCCATTCTGGACCATATACCAGAGCAGCTGTAGAGATGCAGGACTTACTCTGATTACAGTAGACAGAATAGTATAGTTAGTACAGACAGCTGAGCCCGCTTTGTGGGTTGCTTAGCCACTCAGAACTTGAGCCAAGTGATTTTCAGAGGTCAGCCAGTGTCCAGAACCAACAGCGCCTACCTGTGTGACTTGATTACTGCAATAAAGACTAATATTTCATAAGCAGGATGTGGGGAACTGCATAACTTCTCTTAAATACTCCTCTAGCTCTAACATACTCTTACTTAAATAGTGTTGTAAGAGGAGAAGCCTAACCAGAACATCTTCATTGCTCTGTAGGAATGAGGAGATGAAATCAGGTGTTTCAACACTAGCATCTCTTAAGGAGTATGAAAATGGGATTTTTGCCTTTGGGATCTGGGTGGGAGGGAGGGGGCAGAGTTTACAAACCACTAATAGGACAGAATTTTTTAGGTGGGATATCCAAGTGACAAAGCAATGTACTGCTTTTATGATTCAGCTCCAGGAGTTTAAAATAGTGTGTATTACAATAGTTTACAAGCAGAAGCAGACTTCAAAAACTTACAGTAAATAATTGTACCTTTCCTTTTTCAGAATATTTAGCAACGCAGTAATGCAATTCTTTAAACAGGCAAAGTTCACTTTGTGGAATGACATATATAGTAAGTTAGAACTGACCAATTTCTCATTTCGAGATAAAAGTCATTCACATGCCCTGGTTTATTCTAGGCTGATGAATCAATGTTATACAGTTTTAACTTCTTAGCCATTCCAAGCATGACAGAATTTATTGACAGCTGTAGAATTACCTTCATTTTAATTTTTGTACACAGTTTGAAGGAAAAGATCATAATCCTCTCTTTCATAAAAAGACATGTTGTCGGACTGGAAGAAGTTAGTGATTAAAAAGATCTACTTGAACAAATCACACAGTCCGTTTCACCAAGTAGCAACATGATTATTAACTAGTTTCCCTATGTTCTTTGCAACATATGAAAAGTTATTAACTTTCCAGTGTCTGCCATTTTTTTCAATAGTGGGTATTTATCCTTGAAGTGTATTGAAGTAAAAAGATTCTGTCAACATATTCCTGTCATTTCTTTCATCTTTTTACGTCCTTTTGATATCTGTCCTCCGTAGAGTTTGCTATGGCTTCCTTCATTCAGTAATTTGTTAGTGTGATGAATTTATTGTGAAACTTTACTCCAGATTAATAGAAATAATACTGAATAAAACTAGAACTAAAGGAAATAAAATCTGTTGAAATGCTCATGGAAAATTCCTGGAATAATAATGGCACATGTTTTTTCCTAAGCTTTTTTTTTTTTTTTTTTTCTTCCTCAAATAAGTCATGTTTGTATTGTCATTGTTCCAAAACAAAAAGAGTTTTAGTGTGTGAAAACTACCAAAAACATCTCCATTACTTTAGAAAAACAATTTGCCTTAAAGGAGCAGCTCTAGTCTTTTACCTGGAAACTTCACTAAATAGCTTCACACCTTTCCTTTTCCTCTGAAGAGGTGACTTTGATTTGTTTTAGTTAACAGATTTTGTCAGAGTGTATAATAGAACCCCCTCATGTTACATTGTCTTGTCAGTTTGCCGCTTTTTTAGTCTTGTAGGCTTTTTTAGTATCACTGCCTGGATTCTTCCTCACCTCCATGCCCTTTGAATCCTTTTTTGCATGCTAAGATCCTTCATACCTGCAGGCAGTTCCATCCCTTATATTGTAATTTAGCTTTGCCATTTCCTCCTACTGCTCCTGCATCTTCTTTTCCCAGACTCTTAAACTAGCATGGGTAGATGAGTTCTTCTGCCTCTCTCAACTGTTCTATCATCTGCAAATATAGGTATGAACAATATATTCAGCTGAGTGCAAATACCATGTATTCTTACTCTACTATTTCTTGACAGTAAAATACAAGCTCTGAAGAAATGTCTACAAACTTTTAACAGTACATTTTCATGATGTGTGTATATGTGTGTGTGTGTTTTTTTTTTTAAACATCTAGTGCCTCTGTTCGCCTGGATGGACAGGAGAATTTTGCCAATTTGTTGAAAATGCATGTTTAATTTACCCAAATAATTGTTCTAATGGAGCAACTTGCATCGATATGAGCCAGCTGAGAGAGCAACCTTTGTTTCAGTGCTTATGTCCTCATGGTTTCACAGGTAAGGTGTATATAAGGTATATACAGGTTTATAGTTTCACTGACTTTTAAACTTCAAATACAGGAATATTATATTTTCAAAAAAAAAGCAATGGAGAAGTGTCTGGAGAGATAATCACATCTCTTTGTATTTTCTATCCTCTGCTAGGATGCTGGCAGCATCTAAAATGTTGTTACAGATTAGTTTTGAAGCTTCCATTGGAAGGATATAGTAAAAAGAGATCTAGAATAGGCTTCAGCTCCAGTTTAAGGCACTAAATGTAAGTGTCTCCATGCAGATGTTCTATATGTAAGCTAGATATCTGCCCTGTTTTTATAGTTCCTGGTGATCTAATCAATTAAAACAATGGAGCCTAGGGAGTCTGTTAGTTTATCTGCATTTGTTCACCTAACTTTAAGTATCTCTTTCTGAAAGCTAAATCCCACCTCCCATTTCAATTCCTTGATCTGCCCTCAGTGACTTGTGCAAGTTAGATTGGGAAGGACTAACTGTATATTAACTGGGATTAACTCCGTGTGTAGTCAACAGGTAAACACTTTCAGAGGGCAAGTTTTAGATACCTGTTTTAGATATATTTGAAACATTTTCTTCAGGAGCCTTTTTCTATATTTTGGCTGCAGAAGAAGCCTAGAAAGGTAACATAAATTGACCACCTTGATTTTCAGTTGACAAGAAAAACAATTTCTGATTTTTCCTCCAGCCTTACCCTGCAAATATGAGCCCAGTCTGAGATGGATTCAACAATCCTTCACTAGCCTTCAGTGAGAGAGGGCACTGAGAGAAAGCACTGAATTTGATTTATCCCAATTTTAGGTGCCCCAAATTAGGTAAAGTTAATTTGGGTTTTAATCTCTCTGTGTATAAATTCCCATCTATGAGAAGGGATAATGGTGCTCACTTACTCAGATAAATGTCATAAGATTACAGGCTAACAGTCCTAGATGATGACAGAATTTGCTACTGATTTCACTGTATATGCCAGGCATTCTTATGCTTTTCTCTTTCCTCCCGTAAATTACCTACAAGTCTTCCCTTATCTTCTGTCCTCTCATCTACTTCTGGATTCAGTACCACCCTCCCAGATTCTTCCCTCATACCAAAGAATCTGTGTTCTCTTCATTTCTTCCTCTGCTCTGTACCTCCTTTGTCAAGCCAGAGACTCCATGTGGGGTCACTGCTTCATCACTCTTTTGTCTGCTTCAGTCAGGGAGGTAAGTTCTTCAAATCACTAGGAAGAGGATAAAGGCTACTGCTATGGGGCCATCAAGCCGTTCTTTCATCTATGTGCAATACAGAAAACCAATTGACTCTGGTAGTTATGCTATCCAAATTCATGAAGCCCTGAATGCTTCTCACTTTTCATGTGCCCCTGGCTTTTGTCAAAATCACTGCCCATTAATATCTAGAACATTCCCTGCTGCTTTTGAATTTTGCATTACAGCAGGCTGACAAATGCCACTGAATCAGACATAATACCAGATTTTGTTTCCTAATTAAGAGACTAGGAAGTGCACATATATATTTAGAAAGGATAGAAGTCATATAATTATAGTTTCACATGTGAAATAAAGTGTGCCCCATTTTTAAAAAATATTTTAGCTATACTGAATCTATATTCAAATATTTAGCTACACTCCCTTTTACAGGGCTGTATAGATTGTCCTTCAGGTACCAGAGACAATAAAGTTCAGTAAGAAAGACTTTCTTCCTGATGAAAGGCTGCTTGAGGTTTTCTTGTGGATGCACAGAGTCAGAATATTGTCTGGTGTCCTCTGTATGGCCTGATCAGGCTCATGGGCGTATCAAAGGCGCCCCCCTTTCTTGCACAGCCAAACTTTCTCCTAAAATGCCGTATTCCTTGATTGGAATGTGCCAAGAGGAAGAATACCTCACTATAACAGTGTCATGACGCAAACTGTGGAGTTCCAGACAATATTTTAAAAACCTTTATAAAAACTGCCTTAGAAAATTGACTCTAATTGTATGGATGTAAGTATTCAGAATTGAAAACATCTAAATTGAGATCAGTTATAAATCTGGAGTAATGAAGAATGTCAGTGTACCGAGTTGGGAGCCGAAATTTGGGGGGGGTCCAACAAGTATCTGTGATACTGTTAGTCTTTTTTAATGTTGTCATTAAAGATCAAGAAAGTGGTGCTTTAAAGAACACATTAATCACATCCAGAGATTATACCAAACTGGTAGAAAATACTGAGGAGAAAAGTATAATACAAACAGGTCTAAAGAAGTTTTAAAGGAACATGCTTAAAAATGAGATTTGTCTTAGGAGGAAAGGTTAAAGGAAGAAAAAAGCAAAAATGAGCTATTCACAGAGATGAGAGAGAGTTCCAGAAAACAATAGTGTTAGAGCTTAAGTGAAAACCAAAGTGTAGAAGTCATTGCTGAATCTAAGCTTACAATGTAATACAATTTAAAAAGAAAGCTGATAAGGCTTGCAGCTGACTATAAAGAGTGCTCATGTCACTGGAAAAATGCACATCAACAACAGCCTTCAATAGCACAGGTGAAAGGATGCCTTCAGTCTGTTACATTGTTGTAGTACTATATACAGTATTTCAATACAACTATTTTTATTAGAGGATGCAATAATTGAACACAAAGCTTGAGAAATAACAGGAGAAAGCCTTGAATAACTAGTTCTTATGCTGGTATCATTCTAACTTCAGTGGAGAGGTAGTGGAGGTACGTACCAGCTGATGATGTGGTGCATGGTGTCTGAGAAAAACTAAGGGAATATGTGATTAACTATAGTTAATCATAGTTATTCGTATTTAAAAAGAGAAAAGGAACTGTTTTGATTGGTGTAAGAATACTGTGATGGAGTGGATTATTTGAGCATAATAGAAACAAATAACTGGTCTGCTTAATCACACTTTCTTTATATAGCCTTCCATGATGAATTTTTCAAAAACACTGAACTCAATCCTATATGCTTGCGCTATATAGAAACACTTCAGGAGATAAAAGGTATAAGACTAGAGCCTCTTAAAGAAAGAAAAGAGAGCTACAGAGATCAGATGTGTAAGGAAAACAGTCACTAGATCTAGATGCTCATATTGCTCAGCTCTGGAATGCATTTTCTATATCCCAGCATGCTGTGCTTACATTTGGTCCAGGCATGTTTTAAGCCCGTCAGCGCAACAGGTGATTTTATAGTGCAGGCAACAATTTTGTACCTAGGTGAGGTATGAAATGCTATACTTAGCTGTACTCATCAACACTGGCTCTGCTGAGAAGCAGAAAAATGTCTCTGTGACCATTATACGCCTCTGACTCTTGAAAGCACTTCAAGCAATTTGTTCTGAAGACTTTTTGACTGAATTTACATAAAACGCATACTTCCTTCCTGTTTCTCGATACATGCATTTGAGAATTTGTTGGTGAAGTACAACCATTTGAAAGCATGCAGTGCCTCCAGCTGCCTTTCTAGATGTTTTAAGAAAGCTGCAACTTCCTACTTTCCCTCATTGCTCACCACAGATTTGTACAGTGGGTAATGATAAAGAATAATGCACTACTGTTCTTTATGAGAGACTTACAGAACTGTTCCTGGAGAAAAGACTTCAGAAATTTTTTAATGCTTTTCTTTAGGTTTTATTCTAAATAATTAACCAAGGAAATGGTAGACATTAATAGACGTAAAGTCAGAGGCAGGCAGGCTAAAACAAATCACCGGAGTTGTGGAAACTGCTTGAGAGTATATTTGGGAGTTTGATGGATTAACAAAATGAGCAATGCCAGGCTGATGAGATGTGGGAAGCAGGAGAAGGGAGTGGCAGAAGGATTGGTTTGTTTTGCATGCACTTGACTTTAAGGCCAGACTTTCACGTTAATACATCATGAATAGGAGATGCTCCCCCTATGGCTATGAGACCTGTGATGTAGAGTGCCAGAACTCTGATTGGAGTGCTGGCCTAAGACTCCTAGAAGGTAAAAGGTCAAAGGCCTTCTACTCAGCTTAAAAAAAAAAAAAAAAGTAATGGAGATGAGTGAAAGTAATTGTTAGAGTTCATGAGCAGATGTAAGCAAACTTATACATAGTACCTTATATGTCAAATTTGATGGCACATTTTTAAATATCTCTTTAAGTTGATGATTTTTTCAATTATTTGGCAGATTAATAAAATAGATAGTTTGGAACAAGCTATAACATCTTTAAGTTAACTATATAATATATAACTATTCGCAAAGGACAGGAGTTCTTTCAAAATGTATTCCTAAAGGCCAAATATATTCACTATGCACTGACTTAAAAAGGAAACTGAAATACTAGGAAATATGAACATATTCATAAGTATCCAAACACATTGGAAACTTTCTGCTCCATTTTAAATGCAGACAGAACTTAAATACTGATACCATATTTCACTTTGAAATATCAGATAGAGCATTTTTACAGTCTTTTGTTTTTCATGTTGTTACCTAATGCCAAAGAGAAAGCATTTTCAGTACAACAATAGCCATAGACTTAATTTGTCTTGTAGAAATCAAGACTAGAGAAAAAATACTGCTTAACCTGCTGTAAATCACATTCTGCCTGGAGTTCCCTCAAGGATGGTACAACATTGTACACTAGCCCTCTTTTCTTCATGTTCTAGAGTTTATCTATTTGAAATTCAGTACTATACCAGCCTGATTTAATATATTCTTTTTATTTTTGGAGTGTTTATGTCCTTTTATCGCAGTAAGTTCTGTGGAACGCTGCAGATGGAGTGGAACCATTGTGCTTTCATACTTGGAATTGTCTTAGGTAAAAAGACCTTTGTAAGGACCCTAGCTAAGACCATTTGTCTTTTCCCCTAACTAGGGCTCACTAGCTCACTGGCTAATTAACCACACATCATTTTGAAAGACATTTTAACCATCAGGAAACATTGCTAGATGTCTGGTGAACGGTATTAGAGACTGAGTTATTTCGGTTATTATTTTTCACTTTCTGTCAATTTTCACTGAAAGTTATTCTAAAACAGCAAATTGAA